ATTTCTTGGAGACTTTGATCATTCCTTTTTATCCTTTTTTCTCTAATCTTGTCTTCTCATTTTATTTAAGTTGGTCTTCCACCTCTGATATCCTTTCTTCTGCTTGATCGATTCGGCTGTTAAAACTTGTGCATACTTTGCGAAGTTCTCGTGTTGTGTTTTTCAGCTCCATTAATTCACTTATATTCCTCTCTAAATTGTCTATTCTTGTTAGTATTTCACCAAACCTTTTTTCAAAGTTCTTAGTTTCTTCGCATTGGGTTAGAACAAGTTCTTTTAACTCACAGAAGTTTCTTATCATCCACCTTCTGAAGCCTGCTTCTTCTGTTAATGGAACACACTCGCTCTTCATCAGGCCTTGTTCCGTTGCTGATGAGGAACTGTGATCCCCTATAGAGGGAGAGGCGTTCTGATTTTGGGTATTCTCAGCCTTTTTAGGCTGGTTTCTTCCCTTCGTTATAAATTTATCCATCTGTCGTCTTTGTGATTAGCGACTTTCTAATTAGCTTTCTGAGTGGACGTCCAACTTGTTGATTCCCATCGCTGGAATCTAAGCAACCCACTGCGCTGCAGCCGGCGGTAAGATTGATGGTGCTTTTCTGCCCGGCAATCTCCGGACTGGCTTCCTTCTTGAGTCCGTCCTTCGATCAGCTGAACAGGCGACTCTGCCTTCCCGGAGCTCCAAACGTCGGCCAAAAGGGGACCCAGTCCCATTTACTCTGCACCAAGAACTGCCGCGCCAGCCGCAAGAGTTGCACTGGCAACCCGTGGGGCTCCTCCGCTGGGAATCTCCTGGTCCATGAGCAACAAAATTCGTATGAAAATGTGGCGTCCTCTCGTTCTCTGTGCTTTCACTGGGAGCTACAATCCCGAGCTGCTAGCGATCAGCCATCTTGGATCTCTCTTCTCTGCTCTCATCTCTTACAGACCATCTACCTGTTCTGTGAAACTTCAAGCTGGTCTGTACCTTCCAGCCTTGGCCTTCATTATTCCTTCTCCTGGAGCGCCCTCCTTCCCCCAGGCAGAGGCTGCTCTATGAAAGTAAGTGCTGTCCCACTGACTCCTCCATTCTCTGGTTGCTTCCTGGCACGGTTCATTTTCTCAGTAACTTACTGCTTTCTGAAATGGCCTGACTTGTTTACCCGATTATTGCCTCTCATCACCCTTTTGAATATAGGCTGGAAGAGCAACCTCATCACTGTATCCCAGCCCCTACAGCAGTGGCCACTACACGGCTGGCACTCAGATACTAGCTTAATGCATGACAGAATACACTTGCAATCTAGTTAAGAAATAGAAAAAGCCATGGCCAGGTGTGGTGGCTCACGCCTGTAATCCCAGCACTTTGGGAGGCCAAGGCGGGCAGATCATCTGAGATCAGGGTTTGAGACCAGCCTGACCAACATGGAGAAACCCCATCTCTACTAAAAATACAAAATTAGTCATGCGTGGTGGTGCATGCCTGTAATCCCAGCTACTTGGGAGGCTGAGGCAGGAGAATCTCTTGAACCTAGAAGGCGGGAGTTGCGTGAGCAGAAAGAAAAGAAAAGAAAGAGAGAGAAAGGAAAGCAAGAAAGAGAAAGAAAGGAAGAAAGAAAAGAAAGAAGAAAGAAAGAAGGAAGGAAGGAAGGAGAGGGAAAGGAAAGGAAGAAAAAGGAAGGGGGGGGGAGGGAGGAAGAAAGGAAAGGAAGGAAGGAAGGGAGGAAGGGAGGGAGGGAGGGAAGGGAAAGGAAAGGAGGAAGGAAAGGAAGGGAGGGAGGGAAAAAGCCATCCGGAACACTACAAACTGCTCTGAACTGGTTGCTATGAATCAAACAAACAGAAGTAGCTGGACAAATTGCTCTTTGCTCCTAGACGAGGAACAAAGCCTATTGGCTCTCATCTCTGCACCACCCTTTTAAACCATAAAAACAATATAATATCACCTAAGAATTTCTTTAGAATTTGTCATTTTTTTTTGTTTTTTATATATATTTTTATTATATGTTTTTTTATTTTACAAAGATGGGGTTTCACCATGATGGCCAGGCTGGTCTTGAACTCCTGACCTCAGGTGATCCACCCACCTTGGCCTCCCAAAGTGCTAGGATTACAGGCGTGAGCCACCATGCCCAGCAGAATTTAAGTCATTTTTAATTCTACCACCCAATAGAAGAGATTTTAACTTTTCACTATTATCTTCCAGTCTTGGTCCACATGCATGCATTGCTGCAATTATTGTGCACATTGATTTTTTTAAAAAAAAAACTTTTCTATTTTAAATATAAATAGAAAAATGCAGAAACATAAATTTGGGGTTCTCGCTGAGCACTGTGGCTCATGCCTGTAATCCCGGCATTTTGGGAGGTTGAGGTGGGAAGATGCTTGAGCTCAGGAGTTCAAGATCAGCCTGGGCAACATAGTAAGATCCACGTCTCCATAAAAAATTTAAAAATTAGCTGGACATGGTGGCATGCACCTGTAGTCCCAGTTAGTTGGGAGGCAGAGGTAAGAGGATCTCTTGAGCTGGGGAGGTTGAGGCTGCAGTGAGCCATAATGGCACCTGAGTGACAGAGTGGGACCCCATCTCAAAAAAAAAAAAAGCCAGGAGCTATGGCTCATGCCTGTAATCCCAGCACTTTGGGAAGCCAAGGAAGGCAGATCACGAGGTCATGAGTTCCAGACAAGCCTGGCCAACATAGTGAAACCCCGCCTCTTCTATTAGCCGGTCATTGTGGCTCGTGCCTGTAATCCCAGCTACTTGGGTGGCTGAGGCAAGGAGAATCGCTTCAACCTGGGAACCTGGGAGGTGGAAGCTGCAGTGAGCCGAGATTGTGCCACTGTACTCTAGCCCCAGGTGACAGTGGGAGACTCCATCTCAAAAAAAAAAAAGTGTTCTGCCTTTTTCATTTAACAATATCAAATTTTGCTTTTCCTATCTAATTTTCATAATCAAAATCTCTAACAAGTGCCAAATATGCCACCCAAATTTAGGACCCTGATTTATGTAGTCGCTGCTGTACTGGTGCACAGACCGGTCCGCTTTTAGTACTATGGGCACTGGTATTTGGCCCATTCGTAGGTCACACCATGCTGGTTAACAAGCACCTTACTTTATGCCTATAGCTTTCTTCCCCCTTCTTCTAGTGAATTATTTCCTAAGAAAGGTTCCTGGGGGAATGAAAAGACAAGCATATTAGCAAATGTTAATGGCACTGGTACTGCCAGGCTGTTTTCCCAAATACTTGGTATAATGGTCCTTGTAAAAGCTACATCACCTAATGCACACTAAGTGATACATGACCCAACTGCAGGTACCATCTGGGAATTCAGGGACCTTAGAAAGGCTCCTTTACTTCTTCTGAAGCACCTGCAAGTCCCAAAAGAGCAAGTCCCTGATCATGTGCAGGCGGTGTCCTAGGGTGTGCCCGATGGGACAGTACCTTCAGAAGAGGGCAGTTCCTGCCCTTATACCTAACTAAACACAGCAGGTAGATTGGCGGCAGCTGACCAGAAGACATTTCTACAGTAGCTCCAATAAACATGGTAGAAGGCAAGGTACTTTAATCAATGTGAGGATGAAACTACTGACCTGGATGATAAAGCCTAAAAGAAACAGCAAGTTTCTAAAACTCTGAAGGTGCCCAAAAGCCCAAGGTCTTTACCATAGTCACCAGCACCTGAAATTTTGCCTCTGCTTGGGCAGCTCCCCACCCAGAATCAGAAACAGCATGGCAGAGCTAGAAGCACCCCTAAGACAACTTAGTTTGAGCCCCTGATTTTGCAGTTGAGAGAACTGGGCCTACATAGGCCAGGTGAACCTCCCAGGGTGGCAGAGCAAGTGTTTGTCAGAGCCAGAGCTCTAGAACACAGGTCTTCTGATGGCCACCGGCTTACACTCTACCACCTTGCTAAATCTTGACCTTGACCTTGGCCATAGCAATACATACCCACTCTGCTCCCATTCCCACGTGCACACTCCAGGCGGCTTTCAGTGACACACAACACTGCCAAACACAGAAACTTACCTTGGAAACTCAGCTCATAGTGCCGTGAGCCCGCCTGAAATGGCACAACTCCCCTCGGACAGGATTGATAGAAAGCCTCCAGGTATGAAGAGTCGATGCTTGAACTTTTCTGATTGTCTTTCTAAATTGAAAAAAAATAAAAGGTAAAGAGTTCAGGAGTTTTTAGGAAATCTCTACTGTTAAAGGATTTCATTTGAGCAATGGGATGTGAACAGGAGTGCATTCTGCTTCCCAAACCAGATTGGAAGAACGTCCAGCACAGAGCTATGTCACAAACTTCTGTGGTCTTCTCCATTATGGTACCTAAGAGACAGCAGTCTATCCTGCAGAAACTGACTACATGCTTGGGGGATGCCAGAAAACTGTAGCTTTTTGCAATATCTTTTACAACCTTCCATAAAATACGAGCCAAATGTACAGAGCAACTTGCATCCGCCTTTTTGTGAAGCCACATCAGCATCTGTCATCTAACAGAATCTGACACCAACTTTTGCATGAAATAGAACATCGCGGGCTAGTCTAGCCATGCACAGTTTACAGCTGTCATGAAGTGAAGAAAGATCGTCTGCTCCTCGTCTAAACTCCAGAAGGAGCGGTGTTCAAATATAAATAACCTCTCCTCTGCCCTGAACCAGAGTAAGTAAACAAAACTGGCAAAGTCTCCTGCTAGCCAACTGCACTGAAAATGCACTTGGATCTGCTACTGACTGGGGCGATAAGGAAAGGGATGAGGCATCACCCCAAAATGTAAACCTATAATCTCTAGTCTCAAAGCATATGATAAAGCATGCAAATATCAGAATGGATAGGTACGAGGGAAATGAGTTGATTTTAGCAAGGGCGCAGGGTGGCCGACCAGGGCAAACTAGATGTGTGCTCCTAGCAGGAGGGGTTCTCAGTATTTAATGGTGAAGAGACACTTGTTTCCTGTGATCCAGAACAAAGGAGTTAATGACAGCAAAATTTTACAGGCAGCCATGGTGGGTAAGGGCTCACGGTTCCTTTTTTATTACGACATTCCAGACTCTTCGGCTTTCAGCTAGACCCATGCCCCTTACCCTTCCCTAATGGAAATGCCTGCTGAATGTAAGGGGAAGGTAACAGAATGAAAGTGTCCAAGAAAAACACCCTGGACAGAGAAAGGCCTGAGCTGGGTCTCTTTATCTGCAGTGGAGCATGGTTACGGCAGAAAGCAGTGTTCAAATATTTGCACACAGGGCAAAGTGGAAATCAACTTGAATGTGTTTCAGGAGGGAGAACCAGTACAAAGGGTGGAAGGGACAAGGATGCTGACTTTAGCAGAATGTTCTAACCGACAGCCAACAACTCAGTCATATCATGAAGACGCTTGTTGCCATAGCTTTGTGGACAGTATTTATCAGGATGATTGGAAAAGAGGTTGCTGCCATGATTCGATGATGCCTGGTAAACCGCATGCCTTCCTCTGGCCCAAGTGGGCAAAACACCTCTGGCACAATGCAGGATGGGTGGAGCAGCTCTGGTACCTTGGTATCCCCTGGTTTGACCACTAGCTGAATCACTTCCCAATTTCCCATCCCTACAGCTGAAGTCCTGTATCCATCCACTGCCTGCTCAGCTCTGTAGAACCCACCCTGTTCCTGGCTTAAAAGGCCAGAGACTTTCAAACTTTGACACACATGCGAACGCCCCAGGGATCGAGTGCAGATATGATTCCGGGAAAGTAGGAGACGATTTAGATTCTATACTTCCGCCAGCTCCTGCGTGATGCCGAGGCTGATGCTTCTGGTCTGTGGACCTCACTTTGACTAGGAAGGCTCTAGGGTCTAGACCAATGCTGTTCACTAGAACATTCTGTGGTGATGAAAATGTTCTCCGTGCTGTCCAATATCATATGTATGTAGGGGAGGCAAAATTTCTCTTTCTTGCTTTTTCTTTTTTTCTTTATTTTTGACACAGTCTCCCTCTTTCTTTTTCTTCCTTCTTTCTCTTTCTTTCTTCTTTCTCTCTCTCTTTGTTTTTGACAGGGTCTCCTTGTTTCTTTCTTTGTCTTACAGGCTGTCCTTTCTTTGTCTTTCTCTCTCTCTCTCAAGTCTCTCAGGGTCTCCTTTTCTTTTCTTTTCGACAGGGTATCGCTCTGTTGCCCAGGCTGCAGTGCAGTGGCATGATCTCGGCTTACTGCAACCTCCATCTCCCGGGTTCAAAGTATTCTCCCACTTCAGCCTCCTGAATAGCTGGGATTATATGCATAAATTATCACAGCCCAGCTAATTTTTGTATTTTTAGTAGAGACGGGGGTTTCACTATATTGATCAGGCTGGTCTCAAACTCCCAATCTCAGGTGATCCACCTGCTTCAGTCTTTCAAAGTGCTGGGATTACAGCCATGAGCTACTGCGCCCAGCTGGGAAAGCAAAATTTCACCTCTACCCATTTACAGTGTTTTGGCTGAACCTGAGCATTACGTTGATATAAGACCACAATAGGAATGACATGCAATGGAGACTCAGAAGGATAGGGCAGGTTGGGACAGGGGTAGATTACTTAATGGGTACAATGAGTATTATTCAGGTGATGATACCCTAAAAGCCCTCACTTTACTACTAGGTAACCTATGCCTGTAACAAAATAACATTTGTACTCCATAAATTTATATACAAAAAGACAGGCCAACAGGAGAACAGCATCACATTTATTTAATACAAGTTTTAGGTGGCACGGGAGCCTTCCTAAGATAGTGAAGACTAAGGCTGCAGTTACAGATGAACCCTTTACTGAATTAGACAAAGAGTCATAAATTATAAAAATGGGATGAGCAAAGAGGCTTGGACTAGGGAAGTTCATTGGGTGGAGAAGTGTCCAGGAGGATAAAGACTTGTGTAATAGGGTTTGTTTACACAGGTTTCCTGTCCTTGATGATAAGAAGGCTACTTTCATTCTGGTATAGGGAGGACATCTTTCTTTTTTTTGAGACGGTGAGTCTTACTCTGTCACCCAAGCTGGAGTGCAGTGGTGCGATCTCAGCTCACTGCAACCTCCACTCCCGGGTTCAAGTGATTCTCCTGCCTCAGCCTCCCGAGTAGCTGGGATTACAGGCACCCAGTACCATGCCAGGCTGATTTTTGTATTTTTAGTAGAGATGGGGTTTCGCCATGTTGGCCAGGCTGGTCTCGAACTCCTGACCTCAAGTGATCTGCCCACCTCAGCCTCCCAAAGTGCTGGGATTACAGGCATGAGCCACTGCACCTGGCCCCTTCCAGTACTTTTAATGGGAATTTCATCTCCAGCTTTTAAGTAACAGAAAGATTGATCGTCTTGCACCTGCTGTTTTTCAAGTGCTTTTAGCTCAAAATAGTCAATATGCCAGAGTGGCAAATTTTTAACTCCTTCAGTAGCCAAGCTATATGTACATGGCTACAGAGCACTGAAAATGTGACTACAGTGACCATGGAACTTGTTTCTTAATTTTTTACGTGTTTAATTCAAGTTTAAAATGAAATTGCCACATGTGGTAAGTGGTTGTCACACTGGACAGCACAGAGCCACTAACTCAGCGTCTGAGCATCGGCACAGCCTAGCACGGCTCCACTCTGGCCCTCTCTAGCCTTGCCCTCACATTGCACTTGTCATGTTCATGACGCCTGATAGGTGGCGCAGTCCTCAAGGTAACATTTCCCCTTGGTTTAGTCCATATCAGAGGTGAATCTCAGGCACTGTTTGCTGTATAGGCTGGTTCATTCAAGCCTCGCTATTGGAAGACTAAAAGGATAGCGGGAGCATGCCCATGCCATGGGTATGTGAAGGTCAAGAGGTCATGTGACTGACTGCTGGTCCAGAAGCAACTCTCAAAGTCCCTCTCTTGTACCTGTGTGCAGTCTGGGTCAATTACCAGGTGTTTCTATTATAAAGGTATCTTAAGCTATTCTTGGAAGGATCAGTCTTTTTTGTGGTATCTGAAAGTCATATCTGTGCTGATATGGCCCCAGTTCTTTGGCAATCCTAAGCTACAGTTGTCCCATACTCTTAAGTGACAGGTAATGACAGTCTTGCAAGATGTCTCATTAGACCTTTTAGTCATTAATTTAATAGCCATAATGTGTCCTAGAGTATAGTACTGGACTCCAGGTCTGAATAAATGAATGAATCATACAGCCATCAATTACTTATTCCCCACAAGACTGGAACTCATGTCTCAGTTGCAGTAAACAGGTCTTCGCTTTTGTCCTGTGTGTATCAACGATTGCCTCGACCTTGGCTTTCTAGAGCTGTGGCTTGTCTTTGCTCTGAGAGGGTCTCTCAGGCCATAGCCTCCTGCTGTTCCTCAACACCAGCTTCCCCAGCTGCTAAGCGTAGCTACTTTGCTGGTAAACATCTTTGAGGACCCGAATCTGCACACCCTACCTGATGCACATCCAGTAACTATCAGGCTTTGCATTCGGTCAGCCCTGCTATCACTCTGCCCTATGCTATTGCTGCCAAACTGCCCAGCTATTCAATCACTTCTCCTAACACCACACCTTCTCCCTGTCCACCATCTATGTAGGTACGAGTCCTGGTTAAGCATATCAATTTCCATAAAAGCGTATCTATTTTGCCTCCCAGAGAGAGCTCATCATCAAAGCATATGTACCTACTCTGTTGGCAAAAGTTTCTACACCTCAATTTCCTATTAGAGAGACGCCAACCCAGAACTCTAAATTGCCTGACTTATTCAAAATTCAGTAACAGGCCGGGCGAGGTGGCTCAAGCCTGTAATCCCAGCACTTTGGGAGGCCGAGGCGGGTGGATCACGAGGTCAAGAGATCGAGACCATCCTGGTCAACATGGTGAAACCCCGTCTCTACTAAAAATACAAAAAAAAAATTAGCTGGGCATGGTGGTGCGTGCCTGTAATCCCAGCTACTCAGGAGGCTGAGGCAGGAGAATTGCCTGAACCCAGGAGGCGGAGGTTGCGGTGAGCCGAGATCGTGCCATTGCACTCTAGCCTGGGTAACATGAGTGAAACTCCATCTCAAAAAAAAAAAAAAAATGCAGTAACAAGAAATAAAAGCTGTGGGGCACTCTCTGAAAGCACACAGTCCACTCTTTTCTCTAAATATTCTAGCCTTACACTGGCTCAAGTCAGGTCACCAAACAGCTGCAAACTTGGACCATAATGCATTGACCCCTGAAAGAAACCAGGGTCCTAATATGTGGGGTTCTACTATGTGCTCCTAATATGTGGGGTTCGAATCTCCTGGAAACATCATTTTAATTTTATCTGGACTGGCCACAAGGAAAATAGTAAACCCAGGGCCTGATTTTTCCTTTTTTTTAACTAGAGTGAACTCAATTTACATAATGATGGGTCTTACTAGTATAAGACAGTAAGAGTTCATTCACATCTTCAGTGAACATCCAACAAACATATGTCACATTTAATGAATACAACATTCATGTGTTTGCAGATTGAATGTTACATTCTAAAAACTCTACAGTTTTCATGGGAATCCAGAATACAAAATTTAAAATAAATAAATAAACAGCTAACACACACTGAATGTCCCAGACAGAACTTTGTATTTAAAAAGCTCAGGAAAGCTTTGCACAGTGGCAGTATCGTAGCCAATGAGGTTTATCCGAGGCGCGATTATTGCTAATTGAAAACTTAAAAAGCTCAGGAAGGGCTGGGCATGGTGGTTCACACCTGTAATTCCAGCACTTTGGGAGGTCAAGGCAGGGGGATCACCTGAGGTCACGAGTTCAAGACCCGCCTGGCCAACATGGTAAAACCCCGTCTCTACTAAAAGCACAAAAAATTAGCCAGACATGGTGACAGGCGCCTGTAATCCCAGCTACTCGGGAGGCTGAGGCAGGAGAATCGCTTGAACCCAGGAGGCGGAGGTTTCAGTGAGCCGAGATTGCACCATTGCACTCCAGCCTGGGCAACAAAAGTCAAATTCTGTCTCAAAAAAAAAAAAAAGCTCAGGAAGTTTCTTGATGTTTTATTAGGGAACATGATTGAACTTGTATAAATTTAAATACAGTCTCTTCCCCTGATAGCTCTTTTTGGTTCCTGGAACCTTTTTTTTTTTTTTTTTTCTGGTTTTTTTTTTTTTTTTTTTTTTTTTGAGTCTTGCTCTGTAGCCCAGGCTGGAGTGCAGTGACACAATCTTGGCTCACTACAACCCCCACCTCCTGGTTTCAAGCAGTTCTTCTGCCTCAGTGTCTCAAGTGGCTGGGATTACAGGTGCGCACCACCACGCCTGGCTAATCTTTTGTTGTTGTATTTTTTTTTTGAGATGGAGTCTTGCTCTTTCGCCAGGCTGGAGTGCAGTGGCATGATCTCAGCTCACTGCAACCTCCATCTCCCGGATTCAAGTGATTCCCCTGCCTCAGCCTCCTGAGTAGCTGGGACTACAGGTGCGCACCACCACACCCAGATAATTTTTTATATTTTTTAGTAAATGTGGGGTTTCACTATGGCCAGGATGGTCTCGATATCCTGACCTTATGATCTGTCCGTCTCGGCCTGCCAAAGTGCTAGAATTACAGGTGTGAGCCACTGCGCTCGGCCTTGCTGTATTTTTAATAGAGACGAGGTTTCACCATATTGGCCAGGCTGGTCTTGAACTCCTGACCTCAGGTCAGGTGATCCACCCGCCTTGGCCTCCCAAAGTTCCAGGATTACAGGCGTAAGCCACCACACCCAGCCTCCTAGAACCTTGATGTCACTAGAATTCAAATGTTTGCCAACCCTCCTTCTTTATATCTTACTGAAAATTTCCAAATATTTGACATAAAAACCATTGAGACCTATAGCTTATTTTTATTTTAACCAAGGCTAATTAATTTGGGTTTATAATTTTATTCCATGGGTGCCAACAGAATCGCTTAATTGATCTCATCCTTGGCTTGAGCGTAAAAAGAATCTTTGCCAAGTTTAACATCATAGGCGTTTTCACACATGGGAGTTTCAGCAGAACTCTGTTCTGCAGAGATGCTACATGGGCCACCACAGGAGAGAGGACAGCAACAAGGAGGGGACCAGGAGAAGGCTCTGAGTCGGGATCCTATTCCACCAGGCAGCCCTGCTCTACTCTAGTTGGCTTGTTTAGGGTCTTGGAAAGATGGTGTGATAACGCGTATCTGCTGCTAAGAGAGTTTGGAAACCACCATGCTGCTGAATTCACGGTAGGGCTGTCGATGGCTGAGGACCTCACCACAGCACACAGGGTCCCTGCTATGTGGCCCACTCTAGGAGGTGTTTTTCCCAGGCCTCATTAACATAAAAAAGCCGTGCCTTTCCCAAGCATTTTGTTTGCTTTGGCAGTTAGGCAGCTCAGAGCCAAACAGATAGCCCACTGACGTGTAACTATTAGTTCAGTGCAAAAGTAATCACTGTTTTTGCCATTAAAAGTAATTACCACAGGACAAAAAGTAATTTTGCACTAACCTAAATATGTAGAACCTTATGCTGCCATTTCTTTGTCCCTGCATTGTCCTCTCTTTTCTTTCTTTCCTTTTATTTTTTTGAGACAGAATCTTGCTCTGTCTCCCAGGCTGGAGGGCAATGGCGTGATCTCAGCTCCCTGCAACCTCTGCCTCCAGGTTCAAGTGATTCTCCTGCCTCAGCCTCCCGAGTAGCTGAGATTACAGGTGCCCGCCACCTAGCTTGGCTAATTTTTTGTATTTTTAGGAAAAATGGGGTTTCACCATGTTGGCCAGGCTGGTCTCGAACTCCTGACTTCAGGTGATCCACCCCCCCGGCCCTTTCATTATCTTTGGCTTCATTTGAATCTCTTGTTTTCATTTTCTGTTTCTCATCACTCTGATTTCATTACCTACTTTAAGGTCTGCTTCTCTCACTCTAATCCTGTGAGTTGAAGGGAGGAAAGGACACAGACAGAGGGACAGAAGCTCTGCTTATCTAAACTTCCATCCCTATTTCTATGCTCCCACTATGAGTCAGCCTAGAATCTTCTAGTTCCAGTCTTTTAAGTCCATCTAAATCCAGACTCTGATTGAATACTAGTGACTATCTGTACCAGATGTGGTTTCATTGCTTGAGTGAATTAACACATCCCCTGGTATAATTAACCATGCCATCATCCATATGGTCATTTAAGTTCTCACTCTCACCCTCTTTTCCAGCTCAAAGCAGTAGTCTCTCTACATTTATGTGTTTATACATAGAAAGCTATGTCAAGGTTCCACTGTCTCCTCTGATGGTGAGAAATGGCGGATGTACAGCTGACATGTCTCAAGGAGTTCCTTAAAAATAATTAATCTATGGCAGGGCACAGTGGCTCAGGCCTCTAATCCCAACACTTTGGGAGGCCGAGGTGGGGAGATCACCTGAGGTAAGGAGTTCAAGACCAGCCTGTCCAACATGGTGAAACCCCACATCTACTAGAAATACAAAAATTAGATGGGTGTGGTGGTGCATGCCTGTAATCCCAGCTACTCAAGAGACTGAGGCAGGAGAATTGCTTGAACCCAGGAGGTGGAGGTTGCAGTGAGCCAAGATCACACCATTGCACTCCAGCCTGGGTGACAAGAGCAAAACTCCATCTCAAAAAATAATAATAAAAGTGAATATATGCTTTAATGTATAATTATAATTGGAGTGCATGCTTGCTGAAAAAAAACTGAATATGGCTGTGTACAAGGTAAAAAAAAATACCACTTCCTGTAACCACTTCATGGGTAAACACGTAGCCTTCAAACATTTTATTAATGGTGTTCTTTTTTATTTTATTTATTTATTTTGGCAACAGTCTCGCTCTATTTCCCAGGCTGAAGTACAGAGGTGCAATCTCAGCTCACTACAACCTCCACCTCCCAGGTTCAAGAGATTCTCCTGCCTCAGCCTCCCGAGTAGCTGGGATTACAGGCAAGTGCCACCACGCCCAGCTAATTTTTGTATTTTTAGTAAAGATGGAGTTTCACCACATTGGCCAGGCTAGTCTCAAACTCCTGACCTCAGGTGATCCACCCACCTCAGCCTCCCAAAGTGCTGGGATTACAGGCGTGAGCCACCGCACCCAGCCAATAGTGTTGTTTTTAAGTTGGCAACTTTAAACAAGGGGCTCCCCCACAAGGAGGAACAGTGCTCACCTCTTCTCCATACTGAATCCATGTGCCAGATTCATTCTTCCAATACCAGATCCATTTGGTGGTGAAAACAGGGTTGGCTGACTTCGTGACAGAAGAAGGAGTGGAAAGGCGTTGGATGGGATTGGAACCACAAGTCATTTTCCGAAAATTGATTGTATAACTTCCCACAGAAAAGCTGAGAGAGAAAAGTATTAAGTTAACATAATGTTTCACTGACCTCTGTTTTCTACAATCTCGGCTTCCCTAATGAGAGTGCAGAATTAAACTTTTAGAGCTAAAACAGATCTTCAGGTTGTCTTTCTGTAGCTCCAGGTCCTACACATAAAAGAAAAACGGAAACGCAGAGAGGAAAGTGACTTGTCTGCACCACATATTTAAGGGCATCACAAAGTATATTCTTCCCTCAGAAAATATCCCGAAATAAACCCGTGCCCACAAAACTCCTGATTGGCTCGATGTTAGAAAGTTAAGTTAGAAACTCACATTTGATTAATTTCTTAATTTATATTATTTAAATCGTTATCAAAATGTGGAGACCCTTGCAGAAAATTAGCAAGCTTAAAGTTATTTTCATCATAACGTTAAACATTATTTCCTTCTTTCACTTTCATTCCCTCATGAATACATGAAGAAATTTTCCAGAGGCTATGCAATGTATGATTTCACAGCAGATTGAATACAGAAGCAGATATGAGAATCTAGTTATCTTCTATTATGCCAGACATTAAAGAAATTTGCAAAAATATAAAACCCTTCTCAATAAATTGTTTTGGAAAACAGTTATTTTATAATTATCCATATAAATATTATATATACATATATAAACAAATACAGTTATATACCTGGGTATGTATATTAAATGAATATACATGAATATGTATATAGCATAAATATAGTTATATAAAATATGTTCATTATGTTAATATACATCAAGCTTATTATTCTTATTATTTCTTTTTTTTGAGCCAGAGTTTTGCTCCTGTTGCCCACGCTAGTGCAATCTTGGCTCACCGCAACCTCCTCCTCCGGGGTTCAAGCGATTCCCCTGCCTCAGCCTCCTGAATAGCTAGAATTACAGGCATGCAACACCACAGCTGGCTAATTTTGTATTTTTAGTAGAGATGGGGTTTCTCCATGTTAGTCAAGCTGTTCTCAAACTCCCGACCTGAGGTGATCTGCCTGCCTCAACTGCCCAAAGTTCTGGGATTGCAGCTGTGAGCCACTGTGCTCAGCCTCTTATTTTTAAGTGAATCAAATATATAATTGTTCTCAGTTTTAATTTTTAATATGGTAAATATTGATAGCTATATTCCACATAACCAGAAATTCTTTGGGATCCTCAACACATTTTTTTTTTTTTGAGACTGAGACCCAGGCTAGAGTGCAGTGGCATGATCTCAACTCACTGCAACCTCCACCTCCCAGGTTCAAGCAATTCCCTGCCTCAGTCTCCTGAGCTGAGATTATAGGTGCACGCCACCATGCCCAGCTAATTTTTGTATTTTTAGTAGAGACGGGGTTTCATCATCTTGGCCAGGCTGGTCTTGAACCCCTGACCTCGTGATCCACCTGCCTTGGCCTCCCAAAGTGCTGGGATTACAAGCGTGAGCCAAGGCGCCTAGCCAGGGATCCTCAATACATTTTAAGTGTTGAGGAGTACTCTGACCAAAAAGTTTGAGAATTTCTGCTCTTAGAAAGACCTCTTAGATCAGTGGTTCTCAATCAGGAATGATTTTGACCTCACAGGAAATTTGATAATATCTGAAGACATTCTGGGTTATCACAACCATAGGGGCTGGTGGAGGGGTGGTGCTTCCTGGCACCTGTGCATAGAGGCTAGGAATAGTGCTAAACAGCCCTGACAGCAAATAACTATCTGGCCCAAAACGTCAGTAGTGCTGAGGTTGAGAAGACCAGCTCTAAACTTGCCTGAGGGAGGAAATACAGATCTAGCAACAAGAAAGTGGGTGATGTCACCCTCTAGTGGTAAAAATGCAGCAACACAGAATCTCCACCCCCAAATCACTAAATTCTCATATGATGAAAAGTAATGTAACTTTTCCCCCTAAACAATTTCACTGTAAAACTAGGATATTTCTTATATCCCTACACACCATAGATAAATATGGTCATATGGGTATCACCCATTTCAGCTCTTCCAGAAGGAGAAATGTTTTTATTTATTTGAGACAGGCTCTCACTCTGTCACCCAGGCTGAAGTGTGGTGGCATAATCACGGCTCAATGCAGCCTCAACTTCTTAGGCTCCAGTGATCCTCTCACATCAGCCTCCCCAGTAGCTGGGACCACAGGCGTGTGCTACCATGCCTGCCTAGTTTTTGTATTGTTGGTAGAGACAGGGTTTCATCATTTGCCCAGGCTGATCTTGAACTCCTGAGCTCAAGTGATCCTCCTGCCTCAGCCTCCCAAAGTGCTAGGATTACAGGATGAGCCACCACACTCAGCCAGAAGCAGAAATGGAAGGTACCCTCTTAGATGCCTCCAGGCTGGAGAACATAGCAAACATAAGGAAGGTATTAAATGCTAAAGTATACAACAAAATTCGACACTAGAACTATATAAAATTACTCAAATCATGTTTTTAAATTAAGAAGGTAAGCCAAAGGCTCTTTTGTCCTAAATCACTTAGTACTTTTAATAGTTCTGTGATGAACTGATGAGAATACAAGCTGGCCTCTGCATTGTTTTTCTGCTGGACACATTGACAACTATCAACTAAATAAATAACCATGTCATTGTTTATTTCATTTGAGTTAGAAAACATTCCCAGAATCTCTATTAGTCAGGCTCCGTAGACCTCAAACTCACCCCGCTGTGATTTCCTTCATTAACTCGGCAGGCATTTGCCATTTTTATCTCAAGAGGTATCTCACACTCGAATGGGATTCTGATGGAAAAGTGTATTTTTCTTTTTCCCCTAAGCCTAGTACGAATGCTTCCCTTTGATAGTGTTGGGATCTTGAAAGCCAGAGTACAGCCACCAACTTACAGTTGGATTTGGGGGTCACAGTAGGCCTCCTCAATCTTCTCCATGAACTGGAAGTCCGTCCAGGTTCTTGAAATAAACATCTGCCACCGATAAGGCAGATGGAAGTGGACTTTGGTGCAGCTGCCTACAAAGACAAACAGGAGGTCTGAGGGACTGTTGAGTGGGGATTCTAACCAATTCAGCCAAGTTCACTGCCAGCTTTCCCCATCCATGCCTGCCCTGCCCCCTGCCAGACAGGTCCCATCTATACCTGCTGGCACGGCTGTGTGTCCCTTATCCAGGTTCCTTCATTACTGTGGAGATTCATCAGAAAGCAAAATTTCAGGCCGGGTATGGTGGCTCACGCCTGCAGTACCAGCACTTTGGGAGGCTGAGGCAAGCAGATCACTTGAGGCCAGGAGTTCAAGACCAGCCTAGCCAAGAATGGTGAAATCCTGTCTCTACTAAAAATAAAATAATTGGGCTTGGCACAATGGCTCACACCTTGTAATCCCAGCACTTTGGAAGGCCAAGGCGGGAGGATCATGAGGTCAAGAGATTGAGACCATCCTGGTCAACATGGTAAAACCCTGTCTCTACTAAAAATACAAAAAATTAGCTAGGTGTGGTGGCATGCGCCTACAGTCTCAGCTACTCAGGAGGCTGAGGCAGGAGAATTGCTTGAACCCAGGAGGCAGAGGTTGCAGTGAGCCAAGATCATGCCACTGTACTCCTGGGTGACGGAGCAAGACTCCGTCTCAAAAAAAAAAAAAAAAAAAAAATTCCCCACTCCTCAAAAGTCACTCTACCCACATAGAAATTTGAGTTAATCAGAAATTTAGTTACTCTTTCTATACCCCCGCAAGTAGATTAAGCCAAAATGCTCTTCAGCAGAGGCAACCACCTGTATTTCCTTGAAGCCCTGGCCTACAATTCATCTCTTCCAGGAAGATTCTCCTAATGAATCTCACTCCATTCCTCTGACTTTTTTTTTTTTTTTTGCATTCCTTTAGCCAGTACCAATACCCAGTTTGGGCTTAAGTTTTTTTGTTTTGTTTTGTTTTGTTTTGAGACAATCTTGCTCTGTCGCCAGGCTGGAGTGCAGTGGCACGATCTCGGCTCACTGTAACCTCTGCTTCCAAAGGTTCAAGCGATTCTCCTGCCTTAGCCTCCCAAGTAGCTAGAACTACAGCTGTGTGTTACCACATCTGGCTAACTTTTTTTTTTTTGTATTTTAGTAGAGACAGGGTTTCACCATGTTGGCCAGGATGGTCTCAATCTCCTGACCTCATGATCCACCCACCTCAGCCTCCCAAAGTGCTGGGATTATAGGCATGAGCCACCATGCTCGGCCTGAGCTTAAGCTTTTATGTTTTACTTACTTCATGCAGTTTTCTCATTGGTAGAGTCTCACTTACTCTGTTGCCTAGGCTGGAGAGCAGTGGCGTGATCTCAGCTCACTACAACATCCACCTCCTGTTCAAGCGATTCTCCTGCCTGAGCCTCCTGAATAGCTGGGATTACAAATGTGCACCACCACGCCCGGCTAATTTTTGTATTTTTAGTAGTGATGGGGTTTCACCATGAAGGCCAGGCTGGTCTTGAACTCCTGGCCTCAAGTGATCCACCTGCCTCAGCCTCCCAAAGTACTGGGATGACAGGCGTGAGCCACCGCACCTGGCATTTTATGGATGTTTTGATGCCCCACCTTAATTACAAACTCACTAAAGAAAAGGCGCACCATGGTTTAGCTTACAACCCCCTTGCATATTTGACACAGGGCTGGGCGTACAAAAGATAGCCATTGCAGGAATGCCGGCTAAAGAATGATTGATGTTATAAGCTACAGTACAGGAAGACAGAAAATACTTCTGTTTTTCTAAATTTACAGTACGTTATGTTTAAATTGTTTTTGAAATACTCAAAATAAAGATGTGTGACAACTTTAAAACAAAAAAGACAGGTTCAGACACCCCAGGGACACCCATTGAGTGTCCCTACTTGAGACTTGGCTGATTCAAAAGTATATAATCACTCATTATAGTCCACACCTCACACTTGTTAGAATGGGTGCTATCAAAGACAATGGCCAGGCACAGTGTCTCCTGCCTATAATTCCAGCACTTTGGGAGGCTAAGGTGGGTGGATCACTTGAGGTCAGGAGTTCAAGACTAGCCTGGACAACATGGCAAAATCCCATCTCTACTAAAAATACAAAAATTAGTCAGGTGTGCTGGCATATGCCTGTAATCCCAGCTACTTGGGAGGCTAGGGCAGGAGAATCACTTGGATCCAGTGGGCAGAGATTGCAGTGAGCCGACACTGCACCACTACACTCCAGCCTGGGTGACAGAGCCAGACTCCGTCTCAAAACAAACAAAAAAGACAAACACACACAGAAAGAACAAGAATTGGTGAGCATGTGGAGAAATTTAAACCCTTGTACATTGCTGGTGAGAATGAAAAATGGTGGCCAGGCACAGTGGCTGTAATCCCAGCACTTTGGGAGGCTGAGGTGCGCGGATCGTAAGATCAAGAGATCGAGACCATCCTGGCCAACATGGTGAAACCCTGTCTCAACTAAAAATAGAAAAATTAGCTGGACGTGGTGGTATGTGTCTGTAGTCCCAGCTACTCGGGAGGCTGAGGCAGAAGAATTGCTTGAACCTGGGAGGCAGAGAGTGCAGTGAGCAGAGATCATGACACTGCATTCCAGCCTGGTGACAGAGCAAGACTCTGTCTCAAAAAGAAATAAAAAAGAAAAAGAAATACAGTATAGCCACTATGAAAAGTTCCTCCAAAAAAAAAAAAAAAAAATTAAACACAGAAGCACTATATGATCCCCAACTCCACTTCTGGGTATATATCCAAAAGAATTGAAATCAGGGTTTTGAGAAGACATTTGCCTACCCATGTTCATGGCGGCATTATTTACAATGGCCAACAGGTAGAAGCTTCCAGAAAAATCCTTAGGTTACTCACCATTAAGAGGACAACTCTTATATAGATGGTCAAGACAAATTTCCTTTGAGCCATGATCATCCACCCTAGAAGATGCGGTACTTGTGACATCAGATAAAGAATCTATAAAACAAAAGAGGAAGCGTGTATACTGATCTTAACGTTTAAACCAAAAATCAAGGCACTTGGTCTCACAATGGGAAAGAATATCTGAAATATCTGAACATGGGGGCCATGTTCAAGAAAATTCCTATGATTTATGTGTTGCTCATGAGCGTCTAGACAGCTTCTCCATAAAACAAAAATGTGGACAACAGAGTCCTGTGAGAGCTATGTTTGTTTCTTAAATCATAGTTGAAATATTCCCATTGTCAATAAATGTGGCAGCTTATTCCCTGTGGTTCTACTGGTTGGTCCTTTCCTGTCTTCACTAGTCAGTCTCCTGACCGGAACACCCCTTAACCAAAACCCTCTGACTTTATGCCCTTTAAGAATTGTCAGTGGCCAGGCGCAGTGGCTCATGCCTGTAATCCCAGCACTTTAGGAGGCCGAGGTAAGCAGATCACCTGAGGTCGGGGGTTCAAGATCAGCCTGATCAACATGGAGAAACCCCATCTCTACTAAAAATATAAAATTAGCCAGGCATGGTGGCAGGTGCCTGCAGTCCTAGCTACTCAGGAGGCTGAGGCAGGAGAATCGCTTGAACCCGGGAGGCGAAGGTTGCAGTGAGCCAAGATCGCGCCATTGCACTCCAGCCTGGGCAACAAGAGTGAAGCTCCATCTCAAAAAGAAAAAAAAAAAGAGCTGCTGGGGAGCACTCAAGAAAAAACCACCAGCCACAGCCACTCTGCTGCAGACTCAGGACACAGGGGCCCCTTTGTCCTTCAGTGACTTACATTGAGCAGAGCCTGTCATCCTCCTTGTGAGCTCACTGGCAGAGGAAACAGGAGCCTGTGTGCAGTTCTGCCCCTGGGCCCCCCAGACTGCAGCTCTGTTGCTTGAGGAAAGTGCAGCAGGTGACTGAGGCAGAGTGCTGACCTGTGCAGGGACAGCAGTTTCCCCAGGTATGGTAGGGCCCAGGCTTCTCAGACTCTGACTTCCAAATGTAACATATCTTTTTCCCCCATGACTGCCATTGTTAAGCCAAAACCAGTGGCACCCGTTTTTCCTACATCAGTAGTTTTATCTGCAACTTTACTAGAGCCATTCAGTGCATCGTGGACAAAGGTACTAGCCCGAAGTGTCTTCCCTCTGTATTTACCGTTAACAAGTGCCACTCTTGGGTCAGCGCCATCTGTGATTCTGCCAGTGGCCTGGAGATGTCGGGAAGCAGGTCCAGCGTCCTGATTCCTAGGGGATGATATTTCTCTCTGACCGCTGTTTGTGCTTTTGCAATTTAAGGATCTTGTGGAAGTTATATCTGTGGCCACTCCATCGGCGTTATTATTAAAAAGAGGGCCAGCCTGCATGTCCTGAGTTCCACTTTTGCCATGGATGTTCCTGTAGTCTGAGGAAAGCAAGCCTGCGCCCTTTCTGGTGGTCACAGCTTCAGGTGTTTGCAGACAGCCCAGAGAAGAGCGGGTGGCAGGTAGCGTGGGAGAAAACACAGACTCTCTCCCCGTGCCCTTGTCATTCGTCCAGGATGTGGGGCCCTTCCAGCTGGGGGCTGGTGTTGAATCAGAAGCATGGTAAGTGTCGCCTGGATTCCCATACAAGATGCCATGTAGACTGCCGTTCTCTGAAAACCCCCGGCTCGCCCCAGCCTGACTTGTTCCTCCAAGATCGGTAGCCTTGGACGAGCCAGAGGGAAGCCGAGTGTGAGCCTGACTCCCCAGATACCCGAACTTGTAGGTGAGATCGTCTACGGGCACATCCCCCAGGGAAGCCCTGTGGCCGATCTGATCAGGACTAGGCGTGCAGGTCCTCTGAGCAGATGCTGAAGCGGACGCAAGAAATTCTTGGCTGCCCTGAAGGAACCGATCTCTACTTTTGCTTCTAGCCCTATATGCCATGTTTCCACGATGTGTAGGAGCTAGGAGAAAAAAGCCAAAATGAAACAAAATAATGAACATTGGAGTTAATGTGACTGTGTTCCTACCACCCTTCCCTCTCTTTGCTTTTCCAGCTTTGCAATTAAAGTGTGATCAAATTACTTGACCTAATCTGATGCATAAAAATCTTGAAGATGGGTGGTTTGACAACGACAGGATTTTTTTTTAAAAGATGGAGTATCAGTCTGTTGCCCAGGCTGGAATGCAGTGGCCTGACCACAGTTCACTGCAACCTCGAACTCCTGGGCTCCAGTGATCTTCCCACCTCAGCCTCCTAAGCAGCTGGGATTACAGATGCTCACCAACTGTGTCAGCTGATGAATCTTGGCTGGGCACGGTGCCTCACACCGGTAATGCCAGCACTTTAGGAGACCGAGGCAGGCAGATCACGAGGTCAAGAGATCGAGACCATCCTGGTCAACATGGTGAAACCCCGTCTCTACTAAAAATACAAAAAATTAGCCAGGTGTGGTGGCGCATGCCTGTAGTCCCAGCTACTCGAGAGGCTGAGGCAGGAGAATTGCTTGAAACCGGAAAACAGAAGTTACAGTGAGCCAGGATCGCACCACTGCACTCCCACCTGGTGTTAAAGCGAGACTCCGTCTCAAAGAAAAAAAGAAAAATATCTTGACATTCTGCCTGCACGGCAGAGCACACCATTCCATGGCCTAGGATGATAGTGAGACCCTGGCTCTCTTCTGCGACTCAAAGTAGCTCCCAAACCCCAAAGCTTTTAGGTGGGGCCGTCCACTATCTCCTGGTCCTGAGTCAACATTCACCACTATAGTGAATGGAGAGATAGGCTGGGGTGAATCAGAGATTTTCCAGAAAGCATTCGATTTTGCCCGTATTGTGATATGGGTGTACCTGACGGTTGACAAGATTCACAATGCTTCAAACAAACCAACGGAAAACGGAACCACAGTCTAAAAGCCTAACTTTGTTTCAGTTAGAAATTTTCCCAGTTTTCTTCATCCCATCCTACAAGGCCCAAAGCATATAAGAAGTCAACATCAACAAAGCAGTATAGCCTGGAGGGAACTGGCCTTTCTCTAGAAACCTGATGAGTCACATCCTCCTGGAAGCAGGGAGGAAGGAAGGAGTGACGGTGTGTGGGGTGTGTGTATGGCGTGCATGCATGTGATGTTCATCTGGGGTGTGTGTGTGTGTGTGCTGAGGTACATGTGGAAGATGTATATGTCTGTGTTTGAGGCACATGTGCACATGCGTGTGAATGTGAAGTATACATGTGTGCTCGTGTGTGTGTGTGGCGTGCATGCATGTGATGTGCATGCATGTGATGTTCATTTGGGG